TCATAGTGTAAATCTTATAAAGTATTATTAGAATTGCATGTAGCTAGAGTGTTTTGAACCAGTTATTCTTTGTGACAATATTGATGAAATTACATACACAAGTGTTAAACTTTTCACAAGTTCCTCTAACTCGCTTAGAGTTAAAAATGTACTTAAATTAATTCATTTTCATTGAACTTTTAAAGAGAAAAACTCCAACTCTCTAATGAGGCAGCACTACCTCGAAGTTCACATAGGTGAAATTCTTCCACTATGTTTGTTACTTTTAGAGATACTTGTACCCCGTACTGAACTTCATTAAGAGTTTTATTTTAACTCATCCCTCTAACAGTAACAACCAGCACTATTTTCCAAAGATAGAGTTTAGTACATTTAATAGTGTTGAAATTCATCAACTTATCGAATAACTTGTTATTACCCTTTGAACCTGAATATACCAGTTTAGTATCCTTTTGATAGGATTGCTGTCATTAGTGGATCTATTTGAGGAGTTTCAATCCCATTTTACTTGATGTTGATCTCACTAACTCTTTTGTAAGAGGTTTAGTAAATGGATCAGCTAAGTTCTCACTAGATTTAACATATGTAAGAGAAAATACGCAATGCTTGATTAATTTTCTTACAACTCGTGTCTTAAACTCATGTGTCTAGCCTTTCCATTTTACACTTTATTATATGCTCAAGTTAGAGTAGCTTGACTATCACATAAGATAGGTATATAAAAAGTATCATTTATATCTAAAGGTATTTCATATAATAAATCCCTTAGCCACTCAGCATCTGTCCCAATTTCGGCCAATGCTACAAACTCCGACTCCATAGTTGAGTAAGTAATGCAAGTTTGTTTCTTAGATTTCCAAGAAACTGCACCACCTCCAAGAGTGAATATCCAACCTGAAGTGGGCTTATTCTCTCCTGCACTCAACATCGAACTTACATCAATATATCCTTCCAAGATTTTAGGAAACTTTGTATATTATAGCCCAAGGTTTTTGGTCTTCTTTAGATAACCAAGAACCCTACGGTTTCCAATGTTCGAAATTTGGGTTGTTAGTAAATCTACTAAGTTTACTTACAACAAATTCTACATCAAATCTTGTATATTATGATGCGTATATAAGACTTCCAATTGCACTTGCTATTTTCTTTGAGCTATTGCTCTACCATCATTTTTTTATCAATTTGATAGCTGGATCTATAGGAGCATCAGTCTCCTTAACGTTCAAGTGTTTGGATTTATTTATCACATTCTCAACATAATGTAATTGGCTCAATGTAAAACCCCCACTATCCCTTTTAACTTTGATATCAAGGATAGTGGCAACTTCTCCAAGATCCTTCATTTTGAACGTAGAGGATAGGAATTTTTTTGTTGCCTTGATTGCGTCTATATTGTTGTAAATGATCAACATATAGACACAATAAAGTAATTATATTATCATTTACTTTTGTGTAGAGACATTTATCTACCGAATTGTAATTAAATCCATTTGATATTATATTAGAGTCAAATTTCTTATGCCACTTTTGGAGGCTTTTTTCGATCCATATAAGAATTTAATTAGTTTGCACACCTTATGTTCATTTTTCGATAGAACGAACCCTTTTGGTTGTTCCAATAGACCTCCTCTTCGAGATCTTCATTTAGAAATTCCGCATTGACATCCATTTGATAAACATATAAATCATAAATAGATGTTAGAGCAAATAAGATCCTAGTCAAGATTATCCTAGCCACAGGTGAATATGTGTCAAAATAGTTTATTCCGTCCTTTTGACGATACCCTTTAGCTACTAGTCTAGCCTTGTAAGTGTTAAGTGTCCATCGAAATTATACTTCTTCCTAAATACCCACTTGCAGCCAATGGCTCTAGAACCTACTGGTAGATCAACTATTTCCTAAGTATTATTCGAAATAATAGAATCCATTTCATTGTTTATATATTGCTTCTTTCCAGAACATACAATCTCTAAATGATATCGCTTCCTTATAGGTTTTAGGATCACTTTCCACTTAAAAATAAAAGGAATTTATTCTTACAACATCTTTCCTATCTCCCTTTACTAAGTAAAAGGAAATGAGTTGGGAATCTATCTCATCTGATCCTAGATTCTTTTCTTTTCTAGTTATTTTACTTTTTCGAGGTTTACTTTTAACATTCCTTATAGATATCTCTTCTGGTGAGCTTCTAAAGGTTGGAATATCTTTATTATTTTCAAATTTTCTAGCTACCATTACATTCTAGAAGAATTCCACATCCGTGGATTCTATTATAACATCTGATTCAGGTTTAATAATCTATAAGCTTTGCTATTAAGAGCATATCCTACAAAAGTACGTTTGATACCTCTAGGATCTAACTTGGTTCTCTTGAGATCCGTGTTCTTGCAATAAGCAAGACACTCCCACACTTCGAAATAATTGGTATTTGGTTTTCTACTTTTCCATATCTCAATGGAGAGATCTTATTTATTTTCATGGGAATCATATTTGTTATATGGCAAGCACTAAGCAAGGCTTCACCCTATATATTAAAAGGTAATTCAAAATTTTACATGGTATTTATCATTTTCAAGAATGTTCTATTCTTTTTTCCGCTAGACCATTTTGTTCCGGTGTTCTTGGTGTAGAAATTTGATGTACTATTTCGTTTTGTTTACAAAACATGTTGAATTCATTAGAGAAGTATTCTCCACCTCTATCACTTCTTAGAGTTTTTAGTTTTCTTCCTAATTGATTTTCAACTTCAACTTTTTATGTCTTAAAGACACTAAAGGCTTCATCTTTATGTTTTAACAAATACACATAAGTATACCTAGAACAATCATTAATAAACGTAATGAAATATCTATTACCGCCTCTAGTTAGCATGTCATTTAATTCACCTATGCTGGGGTAAACAACTTCAAGTAATTCAATTGATTTTACTATACTATGAAATGGCTTCTTAATCATTTTTTGTTTAATACATATTTCACATTTTTTCTAAATTATCAATATCATGTTGTATTAATCCATATTTAACCATTCTTTTCATGGTATTAATTTTTATATGTGATAATCTATCATGCCATAAATTAAATGAATGAGCAACTTAAGCAAAAGACTTGATTTTATTAAAGTTATCCTCAAGAGTACATAATTTGACAATTCCTTCAGTGGAATAGCCATTTCCAACAAAGTACCCATTATGGGTTAGTACAAGTTTTCCAAATTCAAAAACGGATTTAATTCCAGATTTTCCCAAAAGTACTCTACTTGCTAAGTTTTTATTCATTTTCAGTATATGCAAGACATTTGTCAAAGTGATTTTCTTTTTCGGAGTGAAAATGAGTTCAACATTTCCTTTGCCAATCACATTTGATCTTCCTTCATTTCTCATTTGTATCTCTTGGTTGTCTTCATGATAAGTTTTGAAAAGAAACTTATCATAACATACATGGATTGTAACGTATGTAACGTGCCACCAGCCCGAAACTTTGCCTTGGATTGGATAGATTTCGCTCACCGTAGCGATAATCTCGTCAACGAAATTCACTTGTCCTTCCTTCTTTTGTTGTTTCCTAAACCTGCAATCTCTAACATGGTGTTCCGATTTTCCACAAACATAGCAAGGTCCCTTGGATTTGATTTTGAACTTCCTTTGATCTTTTTTAGGACCAAGAGGTTTCCCTTTCCTTTTAATTTTGTTGGAGTTGTCCACATTGTCCACATTATTGGCTTTCGAAGAGCTATCATAAGAATTTTCAATCTTATCTCTTGTTATTGATTCTACATCTATACGAAGATATTTTTGTATATCTTTCAAAGAAAAATCTTCATAATTGTTAAGAATTTTCTTCTTATATTCTTTCCAAGATCTGAAGAGTTTAGCAATAATTGCTCCCAATTCGAAAGTTTGGAGAAGTTCGATTTTCACTGCCTTTAACTTGTTTACAATTATTTGCAATTCATGTACTTGAGTCAATAATGGAATGTTATCCGAAAATTTGAAATCAAAATATTTAGATATAAAAAACTTTTTGGTACCTTCCTCATCAGCCTTGTATTTGCTTTCAAGCGTGTACCAGATCTCCTTTTAATTCGTCATCTTCCCATTTCTTCATTTCTACACGAATTTCTTCGATGTCTTTGTTTGTTGCATCAGGAATTGTCTTCAATTTCGGATCAAGCATGGAGAAGATCTTCAATGTTGTTAGAAGGAATTTGAGTTTGTCTTGCCATCTTGTGAAATTTGCGCCATCGAATCTATCCAAGCGTACCATCATATCTATGAGTTGTTTATAATCAATTTATATTGTAAATAGATAAAATTGAGTGACTAATAATTATGTAGTTTTTGTGAGTTTCATGACAAGTATAGATAGAAACAAATATTTATAAACATTAGTAATGGTAATAGACGTATTTTATTTATTATGTACAATCATGTCCAATATTGTTTAATAAGTATTCAATGAATATTTCACCTTGATAATAAGAATAATTAAATAAAGACACAAGTATGACTATAAAATAAAAATGGTAGACATATACCTTAATTTTGTTATATAAGTGAATTTTTTCATAATATTACCCATTTTTTCAAAAATTAATTTTTTTCAAAAGCAATCGCACATTTTTCAATAAAAAAATTTTAAATCGAAAATATTTTTTGACCTTTTAACATTTTCCAAAAAATCACCATTCAAATTAAAGCTCAAAGTAATGTATAATGTATATGGTTTGAACATTTATATATTTTATAATAAAATTTTATTGATACTTTTTAAGTAATGCCTAAAGTCTTTTTATTCGAAAATTATTTTTTATTTTTTTATAGTAACTATCATTTTCCGTATAGAAAAATATTTCCCATGCTAATTCTCCTTAGTCCATTTTTTTTTTCTTTTTTGGAGAATAATGCAATTAATAAGAGAAAAAATATCCATAAATATGCTAAAAATATTCCACAAGAAAAGAATAAAAAAAGAAGAATCCAGCAAGAAATATGTAAAATTTCATAGCCAATCGCAGAATGCCAAAATCTCCAATCTCTGATCCTAAACAGATCTCTTATTTCAACCTCTTATTATTAATCGCATTCTCCGTCAAATTAACCTTAAAACAAAGATAAATCATGAATGGGATGGCCTAACTTCACCTCTATCCCTGATTGACATGTCTCCGCCGTCACCGCTACCACCACAACCACCAGCTCCACCGCCGTCCCACGACCACCACCACCTTCTTAGTAAAATGACATCGCTTCCTGACGTTATTTTCACTGCTTTCTCTTTATTTATTCTCTTCTCGTCTTCTCCTAAACCAACCTCCGTTTTCTTTCTCCCTAACAAAATCTCTTTCCCATTAAACCCGCGAAGATTTCTCAAATTCCCCACCATGTCCTCTCCCTTACGCTACCCTACAAACTCGAGAAGCCCTGGCCACCGTCCCTTTGCCACCCCTCAGTCTTTATCCGATTGGCTCAAGCCGCGGCTTCCCTCCGATTCCTTCGCCTTGTGGGGAGTCAAGCCGGGGACAAAGAACGTTCATAACTTATGGCTTGAAATCTCTGAGGGTGAAACCTCGCTTGCTGATTCTACCCCTCCCGTCCGCACCGTTGAGGTCGTGATTGTGCGGATTATCCGAAATGACGGAAAATTCCTTGTTGAATCACATCAGGAGTTGTCCAATGGTGACGTGCGCACCCGGTGCCGGCCATTGTCGGAGAAAATGAAGCCTACAGAATCCGTAGAGGCTGCCGTCTTTCGGGCCGTTAAGGAAGAGCTGGGATCCATCCTTAAAAATGGGAATATTCAGAATTTTGATCATTATGGTTATGATATTAATGGCATTGTGAAAATTGTTCCGAATTCTTATGTAAAGAGGGTGGAGGAGAGAGCTTCTGCATCTTACCCGGGATTGCCGGCTTGTTATATGTTGCATACAGTGGATGCCGAGGTGGAGTGGTTGCCGGAAGGCGAGTTTTGTACAGAGGAGGTAGAGGAGTACGGGGATTTTGATCGGAGGAATATTGCAGATAGCGCAGTTCATTGTAAAAAGCATTACTGGAAGTGGGTCGATTCTAATTCGGTTTGACATTTAATTGCTGGAGGAGGTGAGTTTCAAACTCCCGATTTCAGCTTGAGTTTTGAATTTTGTTTAGTATTATTTTACAATGGTACAGTAATAGTTCTGTATCATTTTTGGTGGAAGTTTTGCTTTTTTATGTACACGAGTGTATGAGATGATAATATTTATGTTGAAACTCTAAAAGTATAGTTGTTCATTAACACGAGAAGAAAGAAACCTTAACTCTTGTTTCAATTTTGTTAAGATTCTTCCTTACTTTCTTGGAAAGTGGAATTTTTGAAATTTTATCAAGAGAAATTAAATTTTTGGTGTATTTGAGAATCTTAGCTTATGCTGATGGTCTTGTCCGTGTGTACATCATCATCTTTTTTTCCTTTGTTGATTCCTGATTCCCCGATAATTATCATTGTGACTACCTTTTGAATCTTTTGCCAAGGTTGGAGTTTTGAGTTTATAGATTACAACGAAATTATGTTCGGGATGTATCTTAAGAAAATACTCCATGTCTACCAGGATAGTTGGATACAAAGTACTTTTCTAACATAGTGATTTTGATTAGTAAGTGCTCCCGCTTTAGCGAGTCTGAATTGAAGACACTGGTTTTACATTTTGTCCCTGCTGGGAGAAAGGGGCACGGCATGTGCATGATAGAAACAAGGAGGTCAACCTTTTTTAAACATACAGCATGGATTCTGGTAAATACAAGGCGCATGGCATATGACAGCAGCAGGAGAGCAAGAGGTCAGACCAATCCCATTCATATTGTTCTGATACGAACAGATTTTGTTGATCCAAGTTTTCCAATTTTGTATGTTGTTTCTTGCTACCTGCTGCTTCTTGTCAAATTCGCCAGCCTTGACAGCCATCTAGAATCCAGTTCTACCTGAAATGAGGTTAGGATGATAGTTGAGAAGAGTATATGTTTTGAGCGGGTTTGAAACCCCATATGAATCCTATTTGGATTATCCAAAATAAAGTTGAAACGCGAAGTTAAATGAATAAGAAAACCGATCCATGAGACAAGTCAGGACCTCTATCTCGTTAAACAGATCGCTGTTGCAAATATGGGACTTGAGGCTAGCTCTTGTTTAGGGGATGGCAGAAGTGGATGAGAAAAGGGGGTGACTGAGTGGCAAGAATTTTAACATTGGACGATCTCATTTCGCTGTTCTTTATGCCAAACAAGTGGCCCCAAGTTCTTGGTTTTAGTAACTTGCGCATTTGAGGACCTAGAAATTCTGAACCTCTGTTGCGGTGGTGAAGAATAATGAAGAGCTCAGTCTCTCAAACTGCCGGACAGTTACATAGATAACTTTAGTATATTCTGTAAATATTGATCAGACAGATACTTTAGTATATTATGTAAATATCGATTAGATAACTTTCATAAGTATCGATTTAGGTTGGAACACAACAATCTGATATGGTTACTGGGATCCCTTACACCCGTTTGGCAGATAAAATTGAAAAGGAAAAATAACCTTATACATTTTACATTGTCCGGTACTGCCTACTACCCCAATCAGGCACTTGGTCAGATGCAAGACGTGCTTAAGAACTTGCTTTCTGCCTCCATTAGTCACTATGAAATGAATACCTTTTTCTTTTTCTTTTTTTTTCATTTTTTGAATAATTTGAGGTGGGCCAAACACGGCGTACTTAGTGCTTGAGTATGACATTTGTGTTCGAATACAGGCACCAAACGAATTTGACCCGGAATTTGGTTGTGAGAGTTCGAATTCCCAGTTGCTTGTCTGGTTATAGGAGCTCAAGCAATTCATAAAAACAAACATAAGATTTACAGCAGAACTTAAGATAATTATAAGAGTCCATGAACAACAATAACAATATTAAGCTTAAACTCTAGTTTAAGTGTTGAATTTTTTCAGCAGTAAAAATTGAATTCTAAATATTTAATACCATATTGAATCATATCATATGATACACAAACTACTTCCATGAAAAAAGAAAAGACAAGGCAAGTAGTACTATTTTGAACAACAATCCACACCAACTTCCAAGCCTATCACTCAATACTGCTTAAGTAGTTCAAACTTTTTGTTGATTGTATTCAAACAGTAGTAGAACAAACTGTCCCTTGCTTAGAGCTCAAGGGGCCTGATGGTATGGAATTGAATGGCAAAATAGCTACACAGTTTACATTAAACCTATACCTCCCAGAAACCCAAGTTCCGACCTTCCATCTAAGCCGTCCGATTACCTTCAGAGTCAAAACAAATTTTCCGATTCTCTGCTCACGTTTAACTTCATAACCGAAGGATGAAGTCACTGGTAACTGATTTCCAACCAAAGATGCGCTCAAGAGGTTCGTTTCTTCATTCCCTTGATAGAAAGGTGGAAGCAAAGCTTCGCGGGTTATTATTTGACCCTTATAAGATGCATATACTTGTAACACGTCGTAGTAAATCCCAACTTTCTTGTTTGGATTGTTGGATGAGAGAGTGAGACGAATAGTAGAGTTGATCAGGTTCGAACTTGAGAGGTTGAGTTGATAGATATTAGCGTCTTTTAGGGAGAATTGTGGTTTTGTGGGGTGTAGAGTGATCCAAACAAGGAAGATGAGGGATAGGATTGTGAGCAGAGATGTAGAGAAAGCAAAAAAGAGTTTCTTGTGATACTTGTTGAAGCTGAATCCTTTTTTAGCACAATGTTTTGGGGATTTCTCATTGACCTGAGACATTTTGCGCAGAGAGAGAGAGAGAGTTTTGATATGCTAAGGAAAGGAGGGAGTGGAAGTAATGAGGTTTCTTATAACTTCTGTGAAAAAGTTACTTATTTTGAAATAAGTCTCACTCCTAATCAAAATAAGTTACTTATTTTCAGTCTTGATAGACAAAAAGTTGTTATGTTAAACCCTACTTGTTTACTTGCAAGAAAACTTTAAAGGAAAGTAGTGGAGTGGAAATGATGGGCTTCAGCGCAAAAAGCAAAAATTATTTTGCTTTTGAGGAATTGAAAAGATCCGGGGTAAATACGAAATTGCACTTAAGAATTTCAAGAATATACTTTACTTCTTCAAAGTTAAGAAGTGAATTAATTATTGATTTCACCTTTAACACAAAAACAATTTTAAATTTTAGTAGATTTTGATAAAAGATAATGAAATATGTTGTTAAAAAAAAAAAAAAAGTTGTGGTCCGAAAAAATATATGATTGACAATGAATTTTAAAAAATGATGACCAAACAGGTGCTAAATAATACTCGTAATAAGGTCCATCAGATAATACACTTATTTAAGAAATGATACTACAAATATGCACTATTTTTGATGAAATGATCAGAAATTCGTCCAAACTCGTAAATATTATCGAAACCCTAAAGTTCGAAAATTTGTTTTAACTCGATAATTAGTAGGAATCTTAGGGACACGACTTTTACAATTATTGAAGGGAAAGTTAATACTTTTTAAATTGCTAAAAGATAGTGTTTGCCTTTCCCATCAATTGGACTATTGGAGTTGGGCAATAAATTTATCCAACTCCTATGTTTTAGTTTGATATACTGTTAAATACAATTTGATCCGTGATATTGAATAGAATTTAATAGCATAACAATTAAAATTCTAATTTCATTTTTCAAGAAAATTTGAAGTCGACTATGTAAATGTTGAAATAGTGACGATATGAATTGTGTTTGTGTCAGATTTATTTTCAGAATTGTGCCCTTCAATCAGGGAAAAGTTGGTCTACCCCCATCAATTATAAGTGATTTCTCATCGGACCTTTCCCTTTTCACCATGTCTGTCGCTGGATCGGCTCTGTTGAGACTTGAAGACAAAATACTTTCTTTTGCCTTTTAACGTGGCTCTGTTAATTTCTTTTGCGTTTCAATGTGTCTGAATGCACAGTGAATCCAATTGTTTTGAAGTCCTCGGATTTTATGTTGTTCTTTAATGAAGATATGCTGTCACGAACTTGGTCCTTGTAGCATATATAGTATGAAACTCGACTAGTTGATCTCTATTTTTTGGGGGGTCTCAGACTCTCAGTTGAATCCACCTCGGCTGATATATTTGACTACTTAGTCTCGATTAAGTCAGTCTCCATTGAGGACACGTATGCACTATTTTCTGTAACAACTTATAAAACCTCTTTACAACTTTTGCTCAGTGCTTGATTGGTGAAAAGAGACTAGAGATTTTTATACTAAAGTATTTAAGATGTTTACAAGTTCTTCAACTACATAGAATGTTCTAAAATATCCCTTCAAAATGACGCCGTCTACCACATTGAAGCAAGCCCCGTGCTCGACTACACTGAATTTTAGCTCTTCAGCAATCTATCTTTCAATAGATAGCGTAGAGTCGTGTAAAAGATGTTCTGATATTATAAAGACTTGATTTCGTTGAACATCTTGATAGTGGCTAGGTGTTGTGTGAATAACAAAGAACTGCAACAAAAACATCATTCAGGTGGAGATGAAAATAACAAAGAATCAAGTTGAGCAACAACAATAAACATATTTTATTTTTTTAGTAACTGGCAAAGAGAATCAACATGTTCCGATAACTAAGTTACAGGTTATGGAATGATTTAACCATATAAACAGCACGAAAAAGGAAACTGCAGTCTCCTTGTGTTAATATATAGAGGATGCCTTCTAGTAATAAGGATTTTACAACAATTACATGATGATTTAATCATTTGAGACATGTTTGGCAAGATGGACCAAACAATATTGAATAACTAAAATCTCGTTCTAATACTACTGTGAACCAAACATGAACAAATGAGGCTGATTGCTTCTGTCAGAATTTGTCCATGTTATAGTCCATTTTCATTGACCTCGTGTTGAGTATCTAACTAGCTGATGAGTTTCCAGGAGCTGGATCATTTTCGCTTGACGAACAAACTGTCCTTTCACCTGCGGATGTTGTTCAGCAAGTTTTTTTTTTTTTNTTTTTTTTTTTTTCTGATTGCACCTGTGATTGAAGTCCAAAGGTGAACAGGTTTCAGTTTTGGAAGTCTCTAACAAAAATTGTACGTCTGTTACCAAACTATGATATATGGTCTGAAGAAAATCTATAACTAGATAAGAACTAGTTTAAAAGGACTGAGATATATACGTCAGTTAAATATGATAGACATCATGTCATGAAATCAGTGATGTACCTTCTTCTTGTAGCATCTTTCTTTCCTCTTCAAGCAGAACTTTGTTAGTTTTGCTGCTCTTTGTACAGATCGATGAGAGTTCCCATCATGAAGAAGAATGACCTCTTCATCTCCAAGCTGTTGTAGCCTTGAAAACTGAAAATTGATCTATTTTACCCGTTTCTTGATACGACGGCAGTTGTGATTCCCTATACACTTCAGTCCATGTGACCCTGTGGCTACCAGATCCAATGCTGTAAAGATGACTGATCGTGCCATTACATAAACTGCTATTTATACTGTGATCTGTCAGTGGAAGATATATGTCCTTGAATCTCGATGCTCAAATATTTCCAAGGTATTCTCCTGTTGGTTTTTGGCCTGATCAGTGGCATCATTGATTCTTTGATCCATCAGTCATGTAACTGTTGAGACGCCCTGGTTTGATCATTTGACGGATATAACGGACGGCCTTTACAGGCAATATATTGGAGATATTACATAACAGTACACGTTACCTAGAGTTTCAAACCTTAAACCTCGGACTGCTATCAGTAGAGGTGCAACTTTCTGCTCAGGGTAGGGATTGTCTGATTTCGGCTTGTCCTGGTTCAAGTGTAGACACAGACATGTTTCTGGGAGCTTAATGTTGGAGCATGCGTGTTCGACTTGTAATCAAGGGTGAGATTGGAATTGATTTCATAGTCCTTATATTTATTACAATTGCCAGGCAATGTGAGTGATGAGGCTGTGATGTCTTATTAACATGCCTGTATACAAGGTTTTGTTAATCAGATGTATATCCCATGAGTATCAAAAAAGAAAACAAACAGAGAAATCACATTGTTGATTTCATTTCAGCTAAAATAAAACAATTTTTTTCCCTCCAATGTGAAAACTAGATACTGGATAGTTTTCTCTCTTTCCCTCGCTGAAGATTAAAAGTATTCAGAGAGTTATTGATTGGTAAAAATTGCCAAAGCTTTATATTTGTATCACTTTAGTAAAAATCAAGATGATTCTGAAGTAGAGACAGAACAATCTCATTGTTTGGGCAGGTAGAAACTCACTGAGAAAAGGCTGATGAATCAGAATGAAATAATTTAGACCCTTCGTCAGTTACTTGATTCAGGGACCAACTAGGAGCAGATCTTCAAGAGGAAAGATCCAAAAGGGCCAAAAGACAATTCTTGTTTGCATCAGTACTAAAATCAAAACTATTACAAGTGCCTTTGAGGTAATTATCAAAAGCTCCGATTAAGTCCATGGCTTCTCTGGAAGAATTCATTACAGCATGATGGCTTTCAGGACTTCGACCAACGTCATTGACATGTTCCCAACAATCACCAGAAGTTTTATCCTCTCCATGAGTTGTATCATCAGAGATGCTGGCAGCTGCCTGCATACCTTTTTTTCATGACAAATATGCAAAAGTGTTGGACATTTACCTTACCACAGAACTGAAGGGGTCATTAGAAAACTTAAGAATATTACATCGACCATCATCATCAGGCAACACGACTCTATTGCCCAACTTACATCTTTCTTGAATCGATATATTTATGTCATTTGAAATTTTGAACGACCAATTTTACCACTTTTGCTGTGAGAGGCCCTGTGTGTGTCCTATATCTGCCCAAAAGACAGAAAGTGGATGGTTTACATAAAACTCAAATTTACCTAATACTACATAATTCAGGCTTTCTAGATGATAACCCATTCAATACCTCTCAAACATGAGCGCGTTTTCCGATTTATGGAACATAAATGACATTATATGCTTAATTGTTACATAATAATCAAAAATAGGCTGACTACAGCTGTACAGCTATTTGCAAGTGAATAATCTATTATTACTTTGGGTGATGCTACACGTGCATCACCGAGAGTCCATAATGGTGTACACCCTCTCACATAGAGGAGGAATCCACTTTGAATAAAATATGATTTATTCGAAGTGGATCCCCCTTCATGCGAGGGGGTAGACATCGTTATGGACACCGTATTATGTACAAGTAGTATATTTCTATTGCTTTTGTATTCAGATGTCAGAACTTTTATTCGTTCAAGAATGGAAAAGATTTATATTAGTCATGGTCTGACTAAAAGGCTCGTAAAATCCATTATTAGAGTCCTATTTCTTACAGGAACAGGGGTAAAAGGAAATTATATCAAGCAAAAATTTAGAATTTCTTACATTGCTTGTCACCGAAAGTAAAATACCTCTGATTCAATTATACAACGATCTATTCCACTGGGTAATGAATATCATTGAAACACTTGAAATGGCTACAAAACATAACATATTTGAAAGGTCTTAAAAATGTGGTGCATGTTTAGTATAAAGTACTAGATAGTGTTAGACACTACGGTGATCAACGTTTTGGCTTACTTTTCTTCCTTAATATTATTGATTCAATCTTATTCACATTACCAAACATATCATCAATGTGCAGTGTGAACATCAGGCGCCCACCTACCTATGGAGACATCTACTAAATAAAGCCCGAGCAATACATTGTGTGTCTCAAAGAAAATGTAATGCGAAACAGAGAACAAATTTACCTGAGCGTTGCTTCCTTCCTCAAAGGTCTTGATTTTTGGACGAGGTTTTCAATTGTCCTTTAATTCAAGT